CCGGAAACACCCTAAATCAACGGTCAAGAAATCTCCATGTCCGGCCGGCCAAAAGCATTTCTCCGTTTCAACAGCACAGTGGCCGTTTGACACCTAGAAACAGGTGTAAGGTCTGAGATGCCGGAAACGCCAAGGGTTCCGGTAATTTGATGATGCTGATGATGATGATGATCATGGTGGTGGTGATGATGATGATGATTGCAAGTGATTAATACATGGGCCTGATACGAAGTGTTGGTTTTGCTTGATGCTGCGAAGGCCAACGAGGAGCTCACCACGTTGTGGCTGCAGCTCGGGCAGAAGAATCTGCCTTCATACCGACACGCCTGTGCCCTTGCGACAGCGCACAAATCGCTACCGCATTCGCTCTTGACGAGCGGCTTGTGTGGTTCATGGATGGAGCAGCTCGAAGCACTTGCCTGTCAGGATGGGCCACTCGCATGCAGGCCCAGTGATATTGAACAGGCAGTGCAACTCCTGGTCAAGATGTCGTCGGATGATGCAGTGCTCCTAATCCAGCACGTCATGACGCTCTGCGACGAACACATGCAGCCGGAGGAGTATGTAGAGTTGTGAGATCCGATTTTCATGCCCTTTTTCAAACTCTAACTCTGCTTCAGAGTAAGCGGATCGAGTGAGTCGAGTCGAACATCCGACACAATCCCTGGGTTTCTGAAGGCCATTGTAAAAGGAAGGTTATGATTCGCCAGACTGATCTAGGGGTTCTGATCAGAGTTGTTTTTACTTGAGTCGAGATTTAGGGGTTAGGTTGATGAGGGTCGTCCCCTTAATTCCGAAACCCCCAGATCTCTGCAGTGTGAAGCTTGCTTACCCATGTCCGGTTCGGGCTTCGACATGTGATTGTGTCGGCGGCTGATGCAACTCCATTATGTTGGAGTTGTTATCTGTGTACCAAATCTGGATCTTGCCTGGAGCTCTCGCATCCTGGCCACAAAGGAGTCCGTGCATGATCAACTCGAACGTGAGGGCACGAAAAATGCCCTCGAACATCGGGCTGCACAACTGCAGCCTTCTCAATTGTTTCCAACGCTCTCCATTTTCGATATAGCAGCTTCTGCCCAAAGCCCTAAGCCTCCAAACCCGAACTCAGACAGTTGAAGCAGAACGTCAGCTAAGCGCCTTACCCCTGCGTCTTCTATAAACTCTCCAGTTCGAATGATTTCGAACTTCTCCGACGCAGACTCCTGGTCAGAACACTTGCTTAAGGGCTTCCTGCACTTGCCTGTCGAGATGTGCCCCTCACATGCAGGCCCCAGCCATATTGAGCAAGCGGTGTAGCTCCTGGGCAAGTGTTATCGGAAGATGTGCTGCTTTTGATCCAGCATATTAAGTTGTGACACTTGGCGACGAACCAATGCAGCCGGAGGAGTACGTTGAGTTTGTATATAGATCCGATTTCAGCTCTCAGCTTCAGAGTAAGCAGATCGAGTCGAACATCCGACGCAATCCCTGGGTGTCTGAAGGCTATTTATTGTAAACGGAAGGGTTGGAGGCAACATGCCGGGATGACTCATGGTTCGCGAGACTGATCTAAAGTTCTTCTAAAAGGAGTTGTTCTTACGTGGGTCGAGATTGAGGGGTTAGGGTTGATGAGGGTCCCCTTAACTCCGAAACCCCCAGATCCCTGCAGTGTGAAGCATCATCTGTTGCCATCATGCAGAAGCTTGCTTGCCCCTGTCCAGTTCGGGCTTCGACATGTGATTGTGTCGGCGGCTGATGCAACTCCATTGTGTTGAAGTTGTTATCTGTGTACCAAATCTGGATCTTGCCTGGAGCTCTCGCATCCTTGCCACAAAGGAGTCCGTGCATCATCAACTCAAATGTGAGGGCACGAAAAATGCCCTCGAACATCGGGCTGCACAACTGCAGCCTTCTCAATTGTTTCCAATGCTCTCCATCTTCGATATGGCAGCTTCTGCACAAAGCCCTACTGTATACCTCCAAACCCGAATGAAGCAGAGTGTCAGCTAAGCGCCTTACCCCTGCGTCTTCTATAAACTCCCCAGTTCGAATGATTTCGAACTTCTCCGACGCAGACTCCTGGTCGGAACACTTGCTTAAGGGCTTCCTGCACTTGCCTGTCGAGATGTGCCCCTCACATGCAGGCCCCAGCCATATTGAGCAAGCGGTGTAGCTCCTGGGCAAGTGTTATCGGAAGATGTGCTGCATTTGATCCAGCATATTAAGTTGTGACACTTTGCGACGAACCAATGCAGCCGGAGGAGTACGTTGAGTTTGTATATAGATCCGATTTCACCTCTGAGCTTCAGAGTAAGCAGATCGAGTCGAACATCCGACACAATCCCTGGGTGTCTGAAGGCTATTTATTGTAAACGGAAGCGTCGGAGGCAACATGCCGGGATGACTCATGGTTCGCGAGACTGATCTAAAGTTCTTCTAAGAGGAGTTGTTCTTACGTGGGTCGAGATTGAGGGGTTAGGGTTGATGAGGGTCCCCTTAACTCCGAAACCCCCAGATCCCTGCAGTGTGAAGCATCATCTGTTGCCATCATGCAGAAGCTTGCTTGCCCCTGTCCAGTTCGGGCTTCGACATGTGATTGTGTCGGCGGCTGATGCAACTCCATTGTGTTGAAGTTGTTATCTGTGTACCAAATCTGGATCTTGCCTGGAGCTCTCGCATCCTTGCCACAAAGGAGTCCGTGCATCATCAACTCAAATGTGAGGGCACGAAAAATGCCCTCGAACATCGGGCTGCACAACTGCAGCCTTCTCAATTGTTTCCAATGCTCTCCATCTTCGATATGGCAGCTTCTGCCCGAAGCCCTAAACCTCCAAACCCGAACTCAGGCAGTTGAAGCAGAGTGTCAGCTAAGCGCATTACCCTTCAGTTCTATACACCGTAGTCCCCAATTCCAGACAATTCCAGGTAGCATCGGGTGGAATAGCCTTTTGCTCGGACGTCCGGTGCATGCAGTGTCGCTGGCTTAGCCGGATCCTGTGCCGGGGCTTTCGACTATGGGGTGTTTTTTTTTGTCCACGGTCCCGTAGGGACACGCGTTTTTCCCACCCATTGCTGCAGCCAATATTGAAACAACGCAGAAACAGGGGCGCAGCTTGGTCATGCTCTGCCCTGCTTGCGTGAGTTGTGGAGTGCCCTGAAAGTGCCGACGGCTCGGACTCATGTCCAGAGTCCGGAGGGCTGGCATGTCTGAACTGCGAAGATGCCAGAGTTCTGCTACCCTGCAGCATTTGTTCTCACCGGTTCTGGTCCTGCTCATCGATTGTCCTAGTTGCAATCTGGATCCCTGTCATTGACGCGCATATTGCAAAAGCTTGCCCACGTATTCGCCCTAAGTGCTAAACCCCAAATGCTAAACCTAACCCTTATTACAGGACCCGTATAGAAACATTATAGAACCTTGTATTCTCGGGCTTGCATCTGCCCGATAAATCTACTGAGAGAAGCTGCTCTCATTGGCGATGTTGTCACGGATCTGCATCGGTGCTGCGCTTGCAGGTGGGTGGGGCTTCACTTTCAAGTCTAACCCCAGGTAAGCGTCACAAACGACGTCGTCAAACCTGCTTGAAGCACAACCCGAAACCCGTGATCCGAAACCCTGAGCTTCAACCTGTGGGCTAAGTCTTAAACCCTAATCCGAAAACCTAGTAAGCCTAGGGCATTCAGCAGAAAATCATGACCGACAGCTGAATTTTAGACTCGAGCTTAAGTGCATGTGGCTTGCCGCACCACATGGAGCACTTTCCGACCGTTCTTGCCCGCTCCTGCAGCATGTTTGAGACCTAGTTGGCCGAGGTCTCCTGCCCTGCAGCGCTGCGTGGGACAGCGCAGCTGTTGCCGTGAAGTGTGAGACTTTGCGTTTTGGCTCGGCACGCGAGTGCTCGAGCACAAAAAAGCTTGATCAAACCCCATCAAGCAGCCAGGCACCAAAGGTGGCCGGGCAGTTTCTCCAAGCAGCCCCTTGCGGCTCGTCGGACCTAGCCAGGGGTGTGCCTTCATATGGCTAAGTCATGGCAGCGGTTGAAAACCCACACAGGGTGCCATCAGGCCTGCCTCTCAATGGTAAGTTCCGGCGGAACTTGAGGTAATGCATCGTTTCAGTCGCAGATAGTCACCCAGAGCTGGCTTGCGCAGTGAACCGGACCTGCACATTCAAGAGCTTGGAGCCCGGTAGGCGTCAGCTGCTCTTTCTGCATGTGCTCAACGTGCTGGTATGCCACTATTATTGGGTCTTGTTTTCAGGAAGGCGTTGGCTCTCTAGACCCGTTCTCCTCCAAAGGCTCTGCAGTGAAGGCTGCGCTGTCCACCTTTTGGCTTCACTTGCCCAAATTAAAGCTATTTTGGGCCCGATCTCTCAGGAAATCAGGTATGCGAGGGAGGCACCTTGCTCCCGATTCTGGGCTCTCAACAGAACAACCCGCATGTTCGACGATGCCAGAAAGACCGATACGGTTTGACAAGTTCACGTAACGTTAGAAGGGAGCTTTGTTGGTGTTGTCCTGGTGAGAAGTGAAGTCGGCTGGCTACAGCATGTCAACCAAAATTTGAAACCCTAACCCCCGCCCCTCCAAGAAAAGGCTCACCTCCCGAAGTGCGAAGTTGAACACGGCGAGGTGAGGCTTTAGGTGAGATTGTGGCACCCGGGTGCCATCATGAGTTGTGGGTGATGGCGATGTGGTTCGAGTGCTTGGAACACGTATGAATGTTGGTGATGGCGATCTTGGTGATATGTCCTCCAGTCGCAGAGCGTCTTTCGACTCGGTTACAACCTTGTTCAAAGCTCCAAACACACCCTCTGCTTGCCTATCGAGGGCACCGCATGTTTGCAACCATTCCTGTCTCAAGACAGCACCACCAAAGCAAGCTAGTCGAGAAGTGGCAGAAACGTAAACCTCTAAGCTGTACGTTCTCTCATAAGCCATAAGCTGTACCGAGGAGGAGTGCGAATGTGCAAACATCAGCATGTCGCTTGAGATTGCAGTTGGAAGTGATCCGAGTTGATGTGGTTGTTGCCGCAACCAGTGGGCTCCAACTTGCAGATTGCAGACACGCTTGGTCGTTCCAACACAGGGCACGACGGTTCAAGGACGGGGATAGGGACATGTGCACGCCGTGTTGCACGTATGGCAATTTCTGATGCTTCAGGATCATGGTGTCGCTTTGGTATCTGCTGAGCATTTCCATGAACTGCTCCGTGCAAGGCAGGGATGCGTGTGGAAGTAGTTTGGAAGCCGGGTTTGATCTTGTGACAGCAAGCACATCATTATCAGAGTGAGATTTCTCACATGCAGCTCTAGCAACAATGAGACTGGTGCACTTGGCCTCAAGGACTCTTCGACTGATTCACGATATACTCCTTGCTTGGATCCACTACACCACTGGAAACTGCGTGTATGCACATGCAAGCCTGGTTATTGGTCGACTCGCCTCCGTTCGTTAACTGAGAGGCTGAGGCAAAGGAAAGCTATGGAAACATGCAATCGGATTGCGCATGCTGTCACCTTCCATGGGGGCTGCAGGAGACTTGGAACCACTGGCAATGCAGGTAAGCGTGGGGTCCGTGCCTGAGGTGCCCTGCACCCGGGGGAGTTCACGGTTGAGTCATCCTTGGACCATCCTGTGCAGACTGCAGGAGTGGATTCCATGTCCACTTAGGTCTTGTACCGCTCAGGACGATGGCTGCATTGTCAGCACCGACCTCCCGAACGCCCAGCAGCACTGCACTATCCAAATGGGACATGGCAGCAGGCGGATGTTATCAGGGATGCTCAGCTTGGCACGGTCCCAATGCCTGTGCTTGACTTGCAGCTGCGGGCTTGTTTGGATGAGTTCCAACTGGCGGAAACCCTCTTACTAAGACGATGTTGGTGATGAAGAAGAAGAACAAGTGAAGGCATGATTTGTGATTGTCACTCTAGTTCCTTTTCGCAAACAGCAGATTTTCATTTTGTAGAAAGAGCTGCGCACAAGCATGTCGAGATGTTTTCCCAACCTCACTTTCGAACAATCTCGGATTATGACCGCTTGCTTGCTGCAACATTGGCATGCTCTGCGCGAGACATGACATGTACGACTTGTTCTTGTTGAGCCTTGAGTCCTGTAGGGACTCGGGTGGTCTCGTCGGTCCCCCCGAGGGTAAGTGAGTTGTGGTGCTGCGGCTTGCGAGGGGAGTGGATACGGCACACCTTGTTCTCAAGGTGGTCTCGTCGGTCCCCCCGAAGGCAAGTTAGCTGCGGCGCTGTAACTTGCGAGGGGAGTGGATACGGCACGCCTTTGTCCCCCTAGTTCACGTGCGCGGGGCCCCAAGGCTTTGTGCTCCAGACTCTAGACTTGAGTAGCTCTTCTTATTCTTGTTGCTTGCTTGTGCAGTTGGGGGCGGCTGTTGAGTCAAGCGGGACTGTCGGGCAACTAGGCAGGTTTTGCATGGCGTTCGGCGCGGCCTCCGCGAGCGTAAGGTACTAGCACCTACTCGCACGCGCTGAAGCATCGACCCGATGAGAGCGTTTGAAAGAAAACTGATGCCGCTAGTCGTCAGGACCGACAAGCAGGTTGCAGATCACGCGGTGCTCGATTGAGACAGGCTTTTTGATGGACGTGTCGATTGATGAAGCATTTCACTGGGCTGGGGAAATACAGGTGCACAGATCGTGACCTCTCGGCTCATGTCATACTGATGTGGCAACACACGCTTGTGGTGCGGTCCTTGCGTGCAGATGTGTGGATGTCGACAAGGTTGATAACGCCACCCCAAGAAAGCACAAAGATCCCCGAACGACAGACTACCCTCAATTTGTGCCTATTCGAGACTTTGTCCGACCCAGCCATAGGCCCTACCGCAGGCCCTGTCCGACCCTGCCAAGGGCCCTGTCGACAGGGGTCGGATGAAATCTTATTGGCACAGGGGCTGCAGCGACACACTGGCAGATGGTATGACAACAGGTCTTGCGTCTGAGCGGATGAGAGACTACTTCAAAGCCACTTGGGCTGACAGATGTGGCAGCCGTGAGAATTGCAAACCCTGCCAGATCAACTTCGCACATGCAGCCGCCAGGACTGTTTCAGCATGTGTTGCAAGCTGCCTTCAGTGGAAACCTGCAGGCAAGCAGCTGATGGGCAGCCCGACTCCTGGAGGTGTTGTAATGGATTTGAAGTGCATGCAGTGATGTGCAGGCGAGTGCGCTCAGATGCTTTGCAGGTGCGGATTCTGTTGTGTATTGTCTGTGGCTGAAGCGGTGACATCTACAAGTAAGCCCATCAGGCTGGACTTAGATTCTTTGTGTAGCTGCAGCCGGCAGGCACGGCTCACCGACATGACGAAGGAGCATCATCGGCATAGTTCTCATAGAGTATGAAGATTTTTGGATGCGACAGGAGGCTATCCGTGTGTCGGGACGCGACACCAGCTTGTCGGAGGCGAAGCGGCATGCAAAGCGCTCCTGACACAACTGCACATGCATGGAGAGTGAGCGATAGAGAGAAGAGAAGAGAGAAAGAGAGAAAGAGAGAAAGAGAGAAAGAGAGAAAGAGAGAAAGAGAGAAAGAGAGAGAGAGAGAGCAAGAGAGAGTGTGAGAGAGAGAGAGAGAGAGTGAGAGTGAGAGTGAGAGTGAGAGTGAGGGAGGGAGGGAGCGACGGAGGGAGAGAGAGAGAGAGAACGAGAGAACGAGAGAAACGGTGTTCTTGCTTTCCTACAAAGCCTGCTGCACACTGGTGGGCCATCGTCCCGGGGCCCATGCCCGGGAGAGAGACCGAGAGAGAGACAGGGAGCTGCAGAGCCTCGGCCTGCTCCAAGTCTGAACGTAGCAGGCGGAAGGGCCGCGCAGAGGCAGGGGCGGCACTTCTGCTGATTTCTTTTGGTTTTGTGTGGCTCCAAGGTGACGGCACAGCCAAGAGGAGATTCGACGGCTCCTCATGCTCATGGAGCTGCAGGTGGGCAAAACGAAATCATCTGCAAAGCCTCTGCCATCGCACGGAGGTATCCGGCTCCCAGCAGCGGCAGCACGAGCAAGACTTGGAGGAGGGTGCGCTTTCGTAAAGCAGCTCGCGTCAAAGTTGTTTTGCGACCTGTCTCCGCTGCCTCTCGAAGGCGGAGCGATGTGGAACGCTTGCGGCCGCGGGCTCTGAGGTCCGCAGAGGCGGCTGGCCAGGCCAGGGCCAGGGCCAGCGGCGGTGTGCAGGGCACGATCTGTTCGACTCTTCGGCTTTTGGAGGAGAAAGCGTCGTTGAAGGCCACCTTGAGGCACGTGCGAATGCTTTGGGCCCGGCTGGCGCAAGGCAGGCGCAAGACTGCAAAGAGCACTGCAGGCGGGTGGACGATGGTCAGCGTGAGCAGCTGGAGATTTTCTCTGCTCAAGCTCTTGAAGAGAAGAGGCGTTTGCAGCAGTGGTTACAGGCCGCTGCATCGAGAACTTGCACTGAAGCAAACAACACCACATCAGTTGAACCAGGATTGAGCATCGTGAGCTCGTGACCTTCCGGAAAGCAGGTCGGCAACATCTCTCTATCCTTACATTTCACAGTGTTGTGCTGCTCTACCAAGGTTGCTGGCAACTTGGAGGCGGTTCTCGCAGAGGTGCCTGTGTCGCCTTCGCTGCGCCCTGCTGTGAGAGGCCCTTGGACGAAGGTTCGATCCCTGGTACCTGCTGCCATGGGTGCGATGGAATTCGTCAGAGATGCGGAGGAGACTCCTGCCACAAAATCGGCCAATGCCTGAGCAGTTGCATTTGCTACAAGTAGCCTCGCACAGTCGCAATACAAACAATGCTCACGGCACGGGGGCCTGTTCTTCTTTCGCTAACTACTTCTGTCCGCATACCAGTGCTGGCCTTGAGGTAGTGTGGTGTGCTCAGATCGTTGCTGGAATCTGCTGGCTACGTGCAGATCTAGACTCCAGATCCAGCTTAGGAGGCTGCGAATGCCTATTGTCGCTTCTGTTGGCATCTGGCTGTGATGGCAGGCAGTCAGAGCGGGCTTGCAGCTTAGGTGCAAAGTTGGTGTCGAGTTTGTTAAGTGGATGGTCATTGGTCCACGGCTGGGGTCCCGTAGTTTTCCGAGGCTTTGCAGCGAAGCGTCGGAAGCGAAGTGCTTCGCAGCACTCCTTCTCTGTGAGGCCTTCGGCCTTCGGCCATAGCAGGCGCTTTCTACAGCTCCGTATCCAGGCTTTGCACTGGGGCATCCCCGGTGTCTCCGACATCTCCGACATGCCGCGTGTGGGGGGGCTCCTTTTTTCCTGGGACTGTCTGAGCGCATAGCGCGCTTTCTTCTCAGGTCACATCTGCGCACCAGATCAGGACTGTCCCAAAGGCTGGGCAGATGCAAGAGCCTCGAGCTCCTCTAGGAGAATCCTTTTCACTTTGGCGGCTCCGGCTGGGGGCAGTCTCGAGATGAAATGATTGCATGTGCTGGCGATATGACGACTGAGGCCATGAGTGACTTTCTGTACAACCAGCGGCGCAATCGTGCCGCACTGAGCGGCCATGCCTGAAACTCCGCCTGCGGCAGTGTTTGATGGGCAGGGACCTGATTGTAGCACCTATCCATGCCTTTGCAGGGCCGAGATGGTTTCAAACTCGTCGACTGGCCGAAGCCGGCAAACGAAGGCCCGGCCAGGATGTCGAGCATTGTGTGACCAAGCCTCCAAGCGTAGCCCAGGATGCTGTGGAGAATGCCGCATGATGCCCGCATATCGTCGTGAGGGCAGGAAGCAAGCTCCGATTTGACTTCTGCCCGGAGAGCTGCAAAAGCTGTGCAGGTTTGCATGAGCAGTGAATCACGACGGCCATTCCAGACCGCAGTACTACCTGTATATAGAGCTCAAAGCAAGGAGATGGAGATCTCAACAAGCTGGCAGAGCAGGATGCTAACAGCTGAACCTCTCTGGCCCACTGCCTTCAGCACCGGATCTCCATGTGCGGTCAAGAAGTGATTCGCGATCGGAGCGATTGAGCCTGGTGCTCAGAAGCGGGATCGCGCGTGATCACATGGGCCACAGGAAGCTATGTCACTGATGCAGTTCCAATTTTTACCCGGGTTTGGCCTCCCTGCCCTGCCGTGCCCTGTCAAGATAAAGGGGTAGACGCCCAACGGTAGCCTGGCCCGCCCTGCCCCTGCACGGTAGTTCTCGCCCATTTTTTGCCGTGCCCACTTGCCCTGCCTTGCCCCTGCCCCTGCATCTTTTCCAAATCATTTTGAAAGCAACGTTGTGGTCCTCTGTCGAACACGGCCCGAGTTTGTGTCGGGGAATGTTCGGGCCGGTAGCACGAGCAGAAATTGGATCGAATGCGCATGAAACCGATACGCTTGGCTAGTTAGTTCCTGACAGTTCCTGACGTACCGTTTGAATTGGGGGGGCCAGAGCTTTGCTGGTGTGTGGTCCTTGCCGAGAAGTGTAGTCGGTCGGCTAAAACAACCAAAACCCGAAGCCCTAAACCCTGAACCTTCGGAAGTGCACCATTGCACGCGGCCAAATAGCAACAAGGAGGAAGTCGGCAGTTTGTAGCCGTAATGTGTCGACCTTGTCAGGAAACCCCAGCCGCCACCCTTGTTTTGTGTTTCTGTGCCGCTCTCTCTGTCCCGCAGCTGTTGGGTGCGGATTTAGGTTGATAGTTCCCCCCAGCATCGGCTCGCTTTCACAGGAAGACACCCGTGACAACATTTATCATCGTACCGTGGGCCGTGGGTAATTGTTCTCGTCTGATCACTGGGTGCTATCATGAGTTTTGGGTGATGGCGATGTGGTTCGAGTGCTTGGAAAAAGCGAGATGTTGGTGGTGGCGATGGTGATACATCCTCCAGGTGTTGTCTGATCCATTGCGGAACATCGTTGAGGCAAGCTTAAATGTAACTTGGACATTGCTTCGTCACGGCTTCACCTCAGTCCTCCCGAGCCCCGGAGACCCGGCTCTGGGTTCACAGATCAGCATTGTTCAAAACCCCCAACCCACCCTCCAGCTGTTTGCTGCAGCTTTGCAACCATTCCTGTCTCAACAGAGCACCTGAGAAGCTAATCAAGCAAGTCGAGAAGTGTGCAAAAATCTGAGCCGCTGAGCTCTCGTTCTCTCACAAGCTGCTCGGAGGAGGAGGAGGAGGCTGGAAACGTGGTCTGAACTTTCGAAGAGCTATGTCGTTTGAGTTAGAGGTGTACCGAGTTGGAGGGATTGCTGCAGCAGTGGGCTCCAACTTGCAGATAGCAGACACGCATTGCCGTTTCCGACACCTTATGAAGGACGGGGATGGGGACGTGGTGGTGTTGAGGTTCGAGGTTTCCCTTTGCTTAACGTTGCACGCCGCTTTGTGCCAGTTGGCGCCGCTGTGGCAGGACATGGCGTCGCTTTGGTATCTGCTGAGCATCTCCATGGCCTGCTTCGCGCGAGGCAGGTCTGGGGGTGGAGTTTCGGAAGCCCCGCCGGGCGTGATCTTAGAAAAGCACATTATTTATGAGATTCGCACCTGCAGCTCCAGCACTAGTGGGACTGGTGGACTTGGCTAGCTTCAAACACTCTGGGCCTGATTCCAGGGATGTCCTTGCTTGGAGGACTGCATGCTGTTTGCACAACAACTACACTCGTAGCGTGTGTGCACATGCAAAGCCTGGTTTTGGGTCGAATCGCATCGGTTCGTGAACTGAGAGACTGAGGCGAGAAATCTGTGGCAACGTGCATCGGGTAGCACGTGCTGTCAGCTTCCATGTGGGCTGCAGGCAACTTGGATTCGCTGTCATTGCAGATAAGCGCCGGGTTCGTGCCTGAGGTGTCCTGCATGGAGTGGTTCGGTTGTGTGGTCATGCACTTTAACCATCCTGTGCGAGTGGAAGCCATGCGCGCTTAGGTCTTGTTCCATTCAGGAAGATGGTTGCATCGTCAGCACTGACGTGGACCTCCCCAACAACCAAGAGCATTGCACAATCGAAATCGGACATGGCAGCAGGCTGATAGTATCTGGGATGCTCAGCTTGGCACTGCCCCACATCTGGACATGTCTGTGCTTGACTTGCAACTGCAGGCTTGTTTAGATGAGTTCCGACTGGCCGGAAATCCTTGCTAAGACGATGATGATGCTGTAGGAGAGCACAAAGCGAAGGCATAATTTGTGATTGTCACCTTATTCCATTTCGCAAACAGCTGGTTTGTATTGTGCAGAAATACCTGCGCACAAGCATGTCTAGATGTTTGTCCAACAACACTTTCGAACAATCATGAACCATCTCAAGTTCTGACCGCCTGCTTGCTGCAACATTGGCATGCTCTGCGCGAGACATGACTCTTGTTGAGCCTTCAGTTCTGTAGGGACTGGGGTGGTCTCGTCGGTCCCCCCGAAGGTAAGTGAGTTGCAGTACTGCGGCTTGCGAGGGGAGTGGATACGGCACACCTTGTCCCCCTAGTTCACGTGCGTGGGGCCCCAAGCCTTTGTCCTCCAGACTCTGGACTTGGGTAGCTCTTCTTGATTCTTGCTTGCTTGTACAGTGGGGGGCGGCTGTTGAGTCTACGGTTCACTGTTTTGACGTCTTGTCTTGTTCAAGCTGGACCGTCTGGCAACTAAGCAGGTTTTGTATGGCGTTCGGCGCGTCCACTGTGGCCGTGCTCATAAGGTCATAAGGTACTAGCACGTGCTGAACGAATCATCGACCCGATGAGTGCGTTTGAAAGGAAACAGGGTGCAGATCACGCGGTGCTCGATTGATAGGTTTCTTGATGGAACTGTCGATGGAACCATAAAGCATTGCACTCTGCCTGTGGAAGGACGAGTGCACAGATCGTGATTCATGTCATTCGCTTGAAAACACACACTTGTGGTGCTGTCCTTGAGTGCAGATGCGTGGAGGTGTCGACGACGCCTTGTGTAACCCTAAGAAAAGGAATGTGCATATCGATAAAACGAAGGCTCAGTTGCATACATGTTTGAAGCGACCGAGTGCATCTATGTCAACAGGAGTCGGTTTCACGCACTTCATAGCAAACATTTCGGACTGAAAGAAGAACACATCTTGAGTGTGCTTGTGCGTTTTACTGACATCTCAAACCTGTGAACACATCTCTTGCTATTGACACTTGTTGCCTAGGACAAACTTGATAGAAACAGCTGAACACAACAAATGTCGAGAATTGTTTCCAACTTCAATCACAAACAATCTCAGGTTCTGGCCGCTTGCTTGCTGCAACATTGGCATGCTCTACGCGAGACATGACATGTGCGATCTGGTCTTGTTGAGCCTTCAGTCCTGTAGGGACTGGGGTGGTCTCGTCGGTCCCCCCGAAGGTAGGCGGGTTGCAGTACTGCGGCTTGCGAGGGGAGTGGATACGGCACACCTTGTTCTCAAGGTGGTCTCGTCGGTCCCCCCGAAGGCAAGTGAGCTGCGGCGCTGCGACTTGCGAGGGGAGTGGCTACGGCACACCTTGTCCCCCTAGTTCACGTGCGTGGGGCCCCAAGGCTTTGTCCTCCAGACTCTAGACTTGGGTAGCTCTTCTTGATTCTTGCTTGCTTGTACAGTAGGGGGCGGCTGTTGAGTCTACGGTTCACTGTTTTGACGTCTTGTCTTGTTCAAGCTGGACCGTCTGGCAACTAAGCAGGTTTTGTATGGCGTTCGGCGCGTCCACGGTGGCCGTGCTCATAAGGTACAAGCACGTGCTGAACGAATCATCGACCCGATGAGTGCGTTTGAAAGAAAACAGGGTGCAGATCACGCGGTGTTCGATTGAGAGGTTTCTTGGTGGAAGTGTTGATTGAATTATGAAGCATTGCACTTTGCCTGGGGGAAATACAAATGCACAGATCGTGACCTCTCGAATGATGTCATACTGATGCAGCTTGAAGACACACTTGTGGCGCGGTCCTTCAATGCAGATATATGCAGATGCATGGATGTCGGCGATGCCTTTTAACCCCAGGATAGAGAAATCCACGTGTCGATAAACGTAAAGTTTAGTTGGATGCATGCTTGAAGTGACAGAATGCATCTATGTCAATATGAGCTGCTGTGACGCACTTCATAGCAAACACATCGGATTGAAAAAGCGCACATCGTGTGTGTGCCTGTGCGGTTTCCCGAAATTCAATCCTGTGAACACACATCTTGCTATTGCCACTCACATGTCGGGAAGATTTTAAACTTAATTTTTCCACAATCTCAGCTTATGACCGCTTGCTTTCTGCAATGTTGGCAGGCCTGGACGAGACATGACATGTGCGACATGATTCTCGACACACGCCATACGGATGCACAGAAGACGCGCGCTTTTGGTGCAGTCCCTTAGTCCCTTAGTGCACATGTGTAGATGTTGCCGACATCGCTTTTACCCGAAGGCAGAGAACACACACACACACACAGCAGACACACATCGCTAGAACGAAGGTCGGCCCGAAATTGCATCAGGGCTCGGCTGCATACATGTCTGAAGTGAGCGTGTGCATCTATATCAACATGGGTCGATGCCACCTCACGGAGAAGCAGATTGCATTGATAGAAAGAGCGTTTTTCGATGTGTTTTTGTGGCTTTATGAGTTTGCAAATACCCAGAAGCAGATGACACTGATGATCGCTATCGCGACGATGGCGATAATCAGCATGAGGACGGTGAGAGTTTGTTGCAGCCTGCTCATCTTCCTTTGCTAGGCTTACTGTTCTCTGTGAAATGAGAGTTTGAGAAAACTAAAACCCCAAATAGCAGCTGCTGCAGGCCCGTTGCCATCGAGATCATACCCTTCACCACCAGAGACACCTCGGAGGCAGAAATGATTCGCAGATTGAGAACAACTGGGCTTGGCTTTCCTAACCGTTCCTGAAGTCATATTTGCCACGTGCTGTTGCTTGAGGTCCTCGCAGATTCCAGCAGCAAAGCCAACAACAAGGCCCGCTGTCTCATTTCTCCGTTTGCACGCTTGAGTCCTACATTTTTGGAGATTTTCCCGCAGCTCAAACCCGGAAGGCTCCCCATCTCTGGAAGCTGTGCCTCGCGGAAGCCGAGGAAAGAGTGCCAATCCAGCGGGGGGCGGGGGCGGAGGCAAATTCCGAAGAGACCCCACAAATCTTTGCCTCCTTCAGGAATCTCCGGAAAAGGAGCTGTTGGAGGAGGCTGGAGTTGTGAAATGGCCAGGCTGCTCTTGGCAGAATCCTGCCCTGCTTCGTGAGGAGGCTCAGGTGGCGAGGTCGGAGGGCGAGATGGCTCAAGGCAGTTTGGAGAACGCAGAGACAAAGCTCTTTCACTCACGATGCTTTTCATGTCCCCTTGAGTCTTCGCAGAGAGCAGAGAAAGACGCAGTGTTTTGAAGGCTCACCTACCTGGAGAATGGTCAGCGGGTCCGCGGCCCAGGTTCTCCCGTGCTTTCAATGTTGCAAAGTGTAGCCTTGGTCCACAAGACGTCGCAAGCAAGAGCATCCGGTGGAACCACAGTGGAGGTCCACCACGCTGAAAAGCTTTGTAAAACGAATGCGAGCCCAACGCTCCGTCTTCCCTGAAACATCTCCGAAGGGCTTTCATTGCCAGCTTTCCGAAACTGTCTTGAGGCCTTCTTCGCACAGGTCTTCCGCTGCCTAAACCCCAATCTAAGGAATCTAAGGGAGCCCTAAAGCATAATTACGCCCTACAAACCCCACAAGCCCCATAATCCCTAAACCCTAAACCAACCAAGTCTTCCCAGCTCGTAGTTGTCGCAACTTGAAGTCTTGCAGGCTCCGAGATCTGCATGCGGTCCCAAGTCTTCCCAAGTCTGCTCGGAGATGTGAGGCCTTCGGAGGCTTTGCGAGCAAAGGCCAAGGCGGTCAAGGGCAAGGGCTAAAGAACCGGGCGCGCCAAGAAACTCCAATGCTGCAAGTCCCGCTTCAGATCAACGTCCACATTCAAACGGAAATGCCAATCCGTGCTGAGGCCCATTGCTTTATTGGGCTTTGTGAGGTTGTAAAGAGTGTATAAATCTGCCGAAGAATTATGAGGGTCGTAAGGGCTTGTACATGGGTTTGTGTCAGGATGTAAAGCCCATGCTGATACCATGCATGCTACAGGTGCTTATCGCAGCCCCTTCGGTGGTCAAAAGAAGCTTGAGATAGCTGGGTTTAAACGGGACCCCAAACCCTTTCATGGTAGCGGAGCCCGGGCCCAAGGAGGTCTAGGGCTCGACTCCTGCGGGTCGCACCGCGGAGCAAGCTCACTGCGGGCAGCCCCTGCGAGAGCAAAGAGGGCCTCGCGGGAATCCCCGCAGGCCAAGTCGGCTGGCAGTAGGAGCCACGCCGAAGAAAAGAGGCGTCCCGAGTAAGGAGGCCCAAAAAGGGAGGCAAACTCGCGGGCAGGCCCGGCGCTTAGCAGACAGGCCGCCTCTTCCCAGGCCCAGGGAAAGGCTCATGGCAAGGAGCCCTCGCGGAGGGTAGTGCTTACCTACAATCCTGCGGAAGCCTTAGGCACGGCCCGAGCAAAGTCGAAGAGCAGTCCTCGAGGACCTTCATCGAAAACCCGCGCGCGAGACGCGGCAAGAGCTGCTGGGCTCCAAGCTGCACGTCGCATCTTGCAGCGGGAGCACAAGGAGGAGGTAAGACTCATCCAAGCGGGTGAGCCCCCTCTTGGGCCAGCCAAAGGCCAAGGCAAGGAAGCCTGCGGGCAAGAGGCTCCGACTAAGGTCGGTCCCTCGAGAGATTCAAGGGGCCAGAAACAAGGCAACAAGGCCAGGGCTTGAAAGGAACTGCTTGAGGCCGCAGCTAAGGATGGCGCACGGCCAGCTTCGAGGGCAGGAGGCAGATCCAAAGTCTGCTCCGGCCCAGGTTGCCAAAGGGTTCACTGGGCCAGGCAACCCTCCGGGACTTTGCTCTGGACGAGGCTTGCAGCCAGTGCAGCGACGAGCGTGCCGGAGGAAGATGAATGTCAGATGGAGATGGGTCAGGCCCCGACTGGAGCCCAGATACACCTGTTCCTGAGGCGCGGGTGGCCCCGCCCTCAGATACCACCACTTTGGTGGACCTCCGGCAATTGGGCAAGCCAGAGACTTTCAAGGGAGAAGCCCATGAGTTCTCAGACTGGGCCTTCATATTGAAAAGGTTATCTGGCGTGTATCAGCTCGGACTACGTTGAGCTGCTCGAACGAGCCGAGCAGAACAGGAGTCCAATGCCTAATAGGGCATTCAGTGCCGGGGACAGGGCGTTGAGCACCCGACTGTACTATGTATTAGTAATGCTCACGCGCAACCGTCCATTGGACGTGCTTTACAACGCAGGTTTTGGTAGGCTGTTGTGGCAAGAATACAGCCCGAAAGTTGCCAGCCGATTCGTTGGAAGCTTTTCGGTTCTACTGGGAACCAAGTTCGGCCAGGACTTTGAAGGCGAACTCGCTGCGTTCGGGCGGTCCTTGTGGCAGTTTGAGTCTGAGTCCGGGAAGCAGATTGATGAAGAGTTTTTGTTCGGTGTCATCATCAACGGGCTCACGGACCAGTCGCTACGGGACCACGTGATCCGCAACGCCGCCCGCCTGACTACGTACTCAAGTGAAGGCGGGGCTGCTGGATATTGCTCAGCCGATGGACATCGGCGCCTTGCCTAACAAAGGCGGGGGTAAAGGAAAGCACAAAGGAAAAGGCGGGGGTAAAGGAAAGGACAAAGGAAAAGGCGGGGGAAAAGGAAAGGACAAAGGAAAAGGCGGGGGAAAAGGCAGCCCTGGACGTCCAACCAAAAGCTTTGCTTCTACTGCGACAGGCCGGGACACACGAAGGCTGAGTGCACAAAGCGCATATCCGACGAGAAGGCTGCCAAGGAAAAGGAGAAGCCAGGTAAGGCGAAGCCAAAGGCCAAAGCAAAGCAGGGAGGCGGCAGGAAGCCAACGGCAGCCGCTCCCGAGGAGGAACCCGAGCCAGTTTTGGCCACTCCAACCATAGTGGCTGGTGCTGTTGCTGCGTCGGCCGAGCCAGAGGCTACCGCGGCAGCTCCGGAAGTCGTCGTGGACACGGGTGCAGGGTCCCATCTTTTTCAGAAGGGATTCGATCCCGCAGCAGTGCCGGGCAAAAGCCTAAACAAGCAGTTGGTTACTGTAACGGGCGAGGCGCTGCACACCAAGGAGCGCAAGAAAAGCGACCTCGGTTTGGAGAACAAAGGCAAACTCCAGATCGAGTATTTCGAGTCAGAGCAGATCAAGTTTTCTGTGATGTCGGTTGGCGAGGCTGCTGAGAAGGGTCTTTGGGCAGTGATCGGCCCTGTGGGTGGTTTTCCTTGTGCCACCATTTGCCGCCGACAAGCTGAAGCAAGCTTTGAAAGAAACTGAAGAACAGTCGGCGCTTCACAAGCGTCACGGAGTCTACTGGCTCCCTGTGAGCAAGGGCAAGAACGCCAAAGGCGGCGAGCCCTCTGTTGTAGCGGCGACCCGTGCTGCCAAGAAGTTTGTGCCGGCCTCTGTTTTCCGAGAGGAGGCTGACGGGGAAGCTGGTGCAGAGCAAGAGCAGGGAGTTGTGGAGGGCGAGCCTGCCCAAGGGTCTGGAGGTTGAGCGACGAGCCGCCGCCCGAAGTTTCAGAAGCCCAGCGGCGAGTGAGGAGACAGAAGATACCGCCTGCGGTGTCGAAGGAAGAGTACGACAACCACATGATCACTCACCTCCCGTTTCGGAGTTGGTGTGATCACTGTGTGAGAGGCAAGACTAGGGAGGACGACCACCCAGAGGCCGTCTGAGCCACTCGAGGTGGCAAACCTCTCCCTTGACTACACCATGGTGGCAGAGCTTAAGCAGCCTAAGGAAGAGCAAGGGGGCGCCATACTGGTCTACGACCACAGGTCTGGGGCCACTTTCTCCGGAATGGTCAACAAGGGGGTCGATCCTTACGGGTTGGCCATCGTCACCGAGACTCTTAAGATGTGTGGTCGCCAGAAAGAAGGTGGTGATCGCTGCGGCCAAGAGCTGGGGAAAGGCAGCTGCGCTTCAGACCTCAGCCAAGGGATCCCATCAGTCAACGGGGCTGTTGAGCGAGCGATCCTGGAGAACGCCAAACAGGTGAGAACTGTACTCAATGCATTTGATGCGTTCTGGCATCAAAGTGCAAGTTGAGGACCAGTACTTTCCTTGGTTGGTCCGCCACAGCTCGTGGCAGATCTCTCGCTTCCTTGTCAAGAGCGACGGCAAGACGCCGTACGAGCACCGTCCTGGGCTCGAGTACCGAGGTGAGGTGGTGGAGCCTTTTGAGGTTGTCCACTACAAGCTGGAGGCCCCAGGGAAGATGGAGCCTAAGACTGCTGTTGGAGTGTGGCTCGGGAAGAGCAACACTTCAGACGAGCATCTGGTCGGGACGTCCAAGGGATCCGTCGGTGCAGGAGCTGCTACCGGAGACCTGAAGGCAAGCGTTGGGACAAGACGGTCCTGAACCGGATGAAGGGCACGCCTTGCCAACCCAACGGAGAGCCAACAGCAGTGCGGGGACAACCGGTACGCCAGGGCGCCGGGGTGTTTACATCACCTAAGAGTGTCAAATTGAACACGGTGCTACTCCAGGGTGCCCTGGGTGCAACACTGTGTACGGCGACACAAAGCCGCACAGCCCAGAGTGCAGCTCGGTTTGAGAAGCCTCTGGGAAAGGCTGTGAACCCACAGCCAAGCACACCAGCTGCACCGCCAGCTGAGGGCATAGACTTGGAGGCATGGACGCGGGAATTCCCTGCTCCTGTGGCCAAGCGGGCGCTTGGAGTCAGCAGGGAATGCTGCTAAAAGGAACTCCCAGAAGGAGCGCATGGCTCAAGCAGTGGACTTTGCAGGCCTGCTGCGCAGAAGACTGCAGGTGCGGCAGGGACCATGCGCTGCAAGGAGGCTGAGGCCAAAGGCTTGCAGAAGCGAGAAGCTGAGACTCCTCAACGCTCCCTTGAGGAAGCGGTTGCAGAGGATGTCACCCCCCAAGAGCTTATCGGAGGCATGCCTACGCTGCACGAGCTAGGCCCGATAGCTGAATACCCCGAGACAGGGGCTCCAGGCTGCGTGGGACGAGCGCACTGGAGAGCTCTTCCGTTGGAGAAGGTTCGCAAGGCCAGAGGCCGAGAGCTGGACAAGATGGAAGAGCACCAGGTGAAGCGCGACATCACCTGGGAGGAGGCCCGAGAGAAAGGCCTGAAGATCGTGAGATGTCGGTGGGTCGACAGCTGGAAAGCCCTTCCCGACGACTCCAAAGGAGTGCGCAGCCGGTGTGTGGCCCAAGAGGTCAACACCTACCAGCGAGACGACGTGTTCTCGGGCACTCCGCCTCTGAAAGCACACAGGATGGTGGTAAGCACTGCTGCCACATCCAAGAAAGGAAGAACAGCACAAACGCTTGATAGCCCACTACGACGTTTCAGTTGCTTTCTTCC